GGTGATAACTCGATCTCAAGTTTATCTTAGAGAAGCAACAAGGCCCCTTCAACTGGTCAAACAAATCATCTATGCGTGGCATCGAGTACTTGTTCTTAACCATCATGGGGTTCAACTTTCGGTAATCGATACAAAGCCACATGGCACCATCCTTTTTCTTAACAAAGAGAGCCAGCGCTCCCCAATGCGACGAACTAGAATGGGTAAAACCCTTATCTAGCAATTCTTGGAATTGAATCTTCAACTCACTTAATTCAGCGGGTGCAATTCTATACGGTGCCATAGAAATCGGTGCCGTGCTAGGCACTAAATCAATAGAGAACTCAATCTCACGGTGAGGTGGTAATCTAGTGAGATCCTCAAGAAAGATGTCCAAGTATTCACAAACTACCTTTGGCAATTCGACTCGGGCTTCATCACACTCTCTACTCAAGAAGTTTCCAAGAAGGCAACTAAGCTCACTCTGACCTTGCAGATTTTATACTGGCAATGAAACCCTATTAGTTTTGTCTCCCATAAAGTAAAAACAGTCACCACTCAAGATACATACAGTAACCCTCTGATGGTAACAATCTATGACAGCTCGATACGATGACAACTAGTCTATATCCAATATAGCATTAAAACTCGACATGTCAATCAACACAAAAGTAAAAGAAAGTCGGCGACCTGAAACCTCTATCTCACAACCCCAACATCCCTGTTCCAAGACAATCTCATTACTAATAGGTGACTCTATACTGAGTGGTGATGCTAACCGAGCCAATTCTAACCCCAATGCCAATGCAAATGTAGATGAAATAAAAGAATGGGATGTACCCGCATCAATTAACACATTGGCAATAGAATTGCATAACAAGAAAGTACCTCTCACAACTGAAGGCGTTGGTACTAAGTCTGGTGTGGTAACAGCATACCCACGCCCTAAAGGTCTCTACTCCACCTGCTCACCTTTTAGAGCATACATCTAATGCACTGACTGAGCTGAAGAGGCTCCTTGATTGGCCCTCGAGGCCAAAACTAACTGTGTAGGTTGGTAGCTCTGTGTCTGTCTCGAACCAGACGCACCCGGTGTGTCACCTAACTATGGAAAAAACCTTTTCATATGCCCTGATTGCCCACATTGATAACAGGTACGTGGTTGCCCTCTCCCTTGATTCTGGTTCTAAGAACAAGCTGAAGACGATGCAGACTGCTGCCTTCTTCCTCTCTGAGGGCAAGCTGGAGACTTGTAGTCCCAACTGGCCACACTTAAAGCAAGTGAAATCTTCCTGACCACCTCTCCTAGAACCTGAACTCGGTACTAGAAAAGTGGACCTCGACTGTGCTCCCTGGGACTGCAGTGGAGTAGGACCTCTCTGTCTCTTACTGTCCCCCTGAATATCTTGACTCCTCTTAGAGCCCCTTATCCACTCCTCCTCACGGTCTCAAGATAAGTCGCCACCTCCACAAGGCGTCCATAATCTCTAATCATTGACTCGACCACTTTGAACATAAGCCTGGTCCTCAACCTCTTCTCGATCTCTATACAACAGCGCTCCCTAGTCGCCATGAGTTCCGGTGCAAACCTCGACAGACTAGTAAATACGGCCTCAAACTCGGCCACGGACGTGTTTAACTACTTGAGCTTAGAAAACTAGTCTCTCAACTTCTCCCTAGTAATGGGAGGTAAGAACTTGTCCTGGAAGGCATCGACGAAAGCCTCCCAAGTTACTCTAATGCACCCACGCGCATACTTTCACCATTAACCCGCATCTCCCTTCAGCTGGAAGGATGCCAAGGTCACTCTCAACCCGCCATCCTTGATGCCAAGCATCTTGAACGTCTTCACCATTTGTTCGAGCCATTCATCCACTTTCAAAGGCTCTTTAGGGACCCAAAAACTCATTCGAATTAGATCAGAATAACTCCCTCTTCAATAAAGACGGCCCTGTTTTAGTAATTTGGGCCTGGACTTGATTCTCAACTCTGAGAATGTCCATGGATTCCCATAAAGCTCAAGCCATTTCACGGGCCAAAGCGCACATGGCCTGCTGACCAACTGGTTCGGCACATTGGCCTGACCAACCCTTTTATCTTGTGCTGGAATCTCATCCGATATAGGTACTTCATGCCTTCTAGGCCTACCATGCCTACCACCACCACATCCATGTCCTAACATCCTAATAAAGGTAACAAAAGATATTAGCACATTTACAAATGTGTCGAAGGTAATTCACTCACGTCTAATGCAATGGACAACAGTAATTCACTCCACATAAGCATGTAGTTACATAAACACATACGAATTTTGTTCCTAGATAATGACTGTCCCGCGACATTCCCAGAGTTCTAATTAGAAACATCAGTGATCAAGTGCTCTTCTAATATGACTTCTAGAAACCCGTAGGCCCAATCAATATCTTAGGAACTAAATCTCATACCCATATAACCATATAAGCATGTTATCACATAAGCATTCCATGCATACAAATGTGACACATGTGATATACATTCACAAATAGTACATAAACAGTACGTCCTGAATTTACAGCATGTGTTACAAGGTGGTGAATAGAGAGGAAAGCTAAACAAATGATTGTGTGCCTTAATGGCTTGCATCTTTCCAAGTCAATACTTGGTTACGTCAAAAGTGAGTCTTAAGCTCAGTACAAATAAAGCCCTAAGCTTGTACAAAATTTAAATACAAAGTAACAACAATGAGCTTTCAGCTCCACAGTCCTCCCAAGCTAAGTCCTAGGCAGAGGCATATCACCAACACCTGAATATGGTTATCTGATATAAGGTGAGCCAAATCCCAGTAGAAATACTACAACACAATGTATAACTCTTGACAATGCCATCAGGTGAATGCATATCCAATGCCCATGCCAAAAAGTTTTACATTTTCTTTCAAAACCATGCCATGCCAAGTCTATATCCCAATTCATCAAATCATCTCTTTTACAATAGTAAACAGGGTAATAAAGTACAATCCTATGGGAATCATCTCTTTTCATGGACATTTCATCTGCGGGAAACCGTCAAATGGGACCTATGTAAACATAGTCTATGCAAGCACTACTATTGCCATTTTACAAAATATTTCGTCCACTGGATCGGCACCCATGTAGGCGCGCTGTTTTTGGGATTTTCACCCTGGACACACAGGCCAACTTAACTTCGGTGTTACACAGCTCTTTCCCAACTTCACCCATATTATCAAAGTCAAGTACATTTTCAATATAGTAATCAATATGCAACCATGCTCAATATAAAATTGATGAGAATTTAGTTATAGTTCACCCAGTCCTCATGCAATTTCTACAATAATCATAACAATCGTCCACTGATAGCCTAAAATAAATATCTGTAACAGATAAATAAATTTTCATTAAAGATACACTTTTTCAAAATCTCAAATGGGAGTGATTATACATATCCAACTCCACCCTCATCATTAATATCAATTTAACTTCACAATTTCTAATATCAATTCCATGTTCTCTTTATAATCTCAACATTTACATTTTAGGGCAAAACCCTTCTCTCTTTGAAAATCCATTTCAATGAAAGAAATATCTCATTTCAACATAGATCAACCCCAAATTCATAATCACAACCTTTTTCAAGAAACCATTTGAAAACCCTTCTTTTACATTTTGATTCCAAACACCAGGTTTTTGCCAAAAACCCCCATACCACCATAACCTTTTGAAATAGCAAATAGCAAAGACAAAACTCGTACTAGAGTGTGGAGAATCCCTACCTCGAAGCTAGAACACCGAGGAGAGAGTGAAGAACCTCAAAGAAGCCGGAATTCGCTTTCGTTCGATGATGAAAAGAGAGCCCAGGAGGTGTTTTACCTTTTTAACAAAGGGAGTATAGTGAAGAAATCATTAGATCTTGGTGTTTTTGTAGAGACAAGGTAAGTTTTAAAGAGAGAGTGTAGATCTATGGTTTTTGGAATGTTTAGAGTGAGAGTGAAATGAAAAAGTGACGTAAAAAGTGACTTTTACAAACTGATATACGCGGCAGTCCACTCGATCGCAAAAAATGACGCTCGAACGTAAGACACAAAAGATGTGATTGCTCGAGCGTAAGAAGTTGTCGCTCGAGTGTGAAATACAAACTCCCAATAGTTTTACAGACAGAAGACCAACGCTAGAGCACAATAATGGCCGTTCGAGCCAAGACTTCTCGAGCGCAAGAAATTTAGCTTGAGTGAAGAATACCACTTCCCAGTAGTGTTGCAGCCCTGTAAAAGTACTTGGAGTTCACAAAGACCACTCGAGCGCAAGAAGTGATGCTCGAGCATAGGAGCAAAATTCTAGGCAACAAAAGTTTGAAAAACAAGCTACCAACCTGTTCTAAACGCAATCGACACAACCTAAAAGCCAAACTCAAAGAGATATAAGGGGAAACAAGGCATGAATAACTGTATAAGATAATGAAACCTAGATCCAAATATCAAATGGGTCGGATCCAAACCAAAAATGCTATAAATCTCAAGCTTTTAAATCTTATACCAAGCTATACACGAGAAGAATAGAAATGGTGAGTTTGGATCTATAATTTGAAATTTCGGGTGAAAATGTAATTTTTTAACTTTTTTTCGTTTAAATGTGATAAGAAAGGGTAAATTGATCATGATTTCAATAGGTGACAGGGTAAATTCACAATATCAAAAGTTCGGGTATGAAATTGATTACAGAGGTATAATTTTGAGAGAAAATTGAAATTTCCTCATTATATTTCAACTGCTGGTACAAATTTAGTAGGGTAGCCCCTAACTCCTTCTCCCTCTACTCTTGATTGTGCAAACACAAAAAAGTTGTAGATGGAAACTCAGGTTGCCTCAGATTTTATTCACAACGGAAAAAAATTCAAAAAACGCACACTATAGCTGAGTTAATAAGCAAAGTCCAGCTGTATGGCACTTCGTGGGTAAAATGACGTTTTTACCCTCCGTTGCTTTACCTGTTTCGCACCGTGACATTCATCTCCCATATCTCAAAAAACTCTCACAGAAACCTGGACGTTTTGACCGAGTCGACCACCTCTCCGGCGGCTCACTCCGGCAGCACTGTTACGAAAGACGAAGTAGCCGATCATCGACGACCTACCAAGGTACGGTTGCCAAACACCCTTTTCTGAAATTTATCTTCACCGATCTGCAACGTAATTTACAATAGTTCTCCCCTGCAATTTTTTTTTTCTCCGTTCGTCGTTCAGTAACCGATCTTCTTACTTATCTTCACCTACTCGTGTGCAACAGAAATTACTTTGCAATGCAAACCATTTTTCCTCCTTACCGTCTTCCTTCATTTTGGGTTTTGTTCACATCTTCTTCACCAAATTTTTTTTGGCCTTTTCTGCCGACCATCTGGAAGTTGTCCGCATCTGGAAGTTAAAAAATGAATTTCATTTGGAAGTTAAAAAATCGATTTTCTACATAACAACTACAATGTTAAAAAATGAATTTGGCACCGACCATCTGGAAGTTGTCTGCATCGAATTTTTTTTTTTTTGATTTTTTTAATGAATTTCATTTCCTGTGTAGAGTACAAAACATGGACAAAATTATTTCTCAAACTTAATTGTTTTTTTTTTCTTTTCCAAAATTATTCCCCATATATGAAATTTTGCTTTCATCAAAAAATTAATAAAATTTCTAATTTACATTTGATGAACTTTCAGTTTGGGAAAAAATACTTCTTTTCTAATTTCATAGAACCTGTTCTTTGTAGGCCCTAATTTATTGAATAAATAATTTCATGGTTCAGAGTGTTGGGATTTTTGGAATGTTGTTGTGTATTGGAATGTTGTTACCTTTTTGGTATCCTTCACCAGGTATAGATTTCATGAATTAGTAATTAATTGATTATAACAACAAAAAAAAACAGCGTTCGTTTGGGTTTTTCCCAAGGGCACACAAATGTGGTTAACACATGAACACAAAAATATAGATGTCAACTAATGGACAAGTGTTAACTGTGCATTGCATTTGAAGTGCCCAAAACTGTTGCAGTTTGTTATGTTAACAATTTAGTCAATCTGTTATGCTGAAAAAAGAAAATGGGATGTAATAAAAATAGATTGCTATTCCTTCATTCTTTAACGAAATATATTATCTGTTACACTAGCTTTGGAATACTTGTATTGCAATTATAACCCCAATCGGTGGTGCTGTTGTAGTCATGTGCTTGTTCTGTGTGTAGTCATATGGCTTTCTCATTTTCCACTGCCACGTCGACATGGTCACAACGCATGTGTGCTTGTGGCTATGGCCATTGTCTTGTGAAGGTATCCAGATTAAAAAAAATGAATTTCATTTGGAAGTTAAAAAATCGATTTTCTACATAACAACTACAATGTTAAAAAATGAATTTGGCACAGACCATCTGGAAGTTGTCTGCATCGAATTTTTTTTTTTTTTTGATTTTTTTAATGAATTTCATTTCCTGTGTAGAGTACAAAACATGGACAAAATTATTTCTCAAACTTAATTGTTTTTTTTTTCTTTTCCAAAATTATTCCCCATATATGAAATTTTGCTTTCATCAAAAAATTAATAAAATTTCTAATTTACATTTGATGAACTTTTAGTTTGGGAAAAAATACTTCTTTTCTAATTTCATAGAACCTGTTCTTTGTAGGCCCTAATTTATTGAATAAATAATTTCATGGTTCAGAGTGTTGGGATTTTTGGAATGTTGTTGTGTATTGGAATGTTGTTACCTTTTTGGTATCCTTCACCAGGTATAGATTTCATGAATTAGTAATTAATTGATTATAACAACAAAAAAAAACAGCGTTCGTTTGGGTTTTTCCCAAGGGCACACAAATGTGGTTAACACATGAACACAAAAATATAGATGTCAACTAATGGACAAGTGTTAACTGTGCATTGCATTTGAAGTGCCCAAAACTGTTGCAGTTTGTTATGTTAACAATTTAGTCAATCTGTTATGTTGAAAAAGAAAATGGGATGTAATAAAAATAGATTGCTATTCCTTCATTCTTTAACGAAATATGTTATCTGTTACACTAGCTTTGGAATACTTGTATTGCAATTGTAACCCCAATTAGTGGTGCTGTTGTAGTCATGTGCTTGCTCTATGTGTAGTCATATGGCTTCCTCTTTTTTCATTGCCATGTCGACATGGCCACAACGCATGTGTGCTTGTGGCTATGGACATTGTCTTGTAAAGGTATCCAAATCTCACAAAAATCCTGGGCATGCATATTATGTTTGCCCCCAGCCCGTGGTGAGTTGTACCAAATGATTATTTGTCACTCCAGTTATATGCACACTGTAATTCCCATAACTAATAACTATTTTACGTTTCTCACTCACCAGCAATGTGGTAATTGGATTGGTTGGTGTGACGAATCAGGGACACGGATCCCCGACCATGACTCTGGGTCAACCAATGTCATGCAGTTACGGGCTGATGTCGTGAACATTTTCAATACCTTGCGTGTAATGAAAACGGTGATTTGTGTGTTGTGCATCATGGTCATCATCTTATTATTGCGAATGTAAACCCCGTAAAAAACCCTTCATTAATACGTATACATTTGTTAGTGTCTTGAAGAAGTACTATGTTGAACAAGTAAATGCATTGTCATCATTGTTATGTAAACGCTACATGTTGTTAGTAATTATCGTACTACTTTTTATAAAACTGTGGAAGTTGTCTTGTACATATTGTTCATAGTTTATGTTTGAAATGTATTAATCAACTGCGTTCTAATGTTAAAAAATATGTCCTCTCACATTAGTGTAATGGCTGCAATACGGTCGTCTCCTCGCACCCCGTCTAAGAATAAAGGGGTTGGCCCATCAGGTACCGAAGGCATTATTGATGGCTTAGATAATACACATAAGGCGAACTGGGACAGTGTAGCGACAAAAATCTTCTTACAGTGTGTTAGGGACGCAATATTCGCGGGCCGTCGGGTAGGTACAACCATAACCAGAACAGGGTATAACAAAATCGCACTGAAATTCGCTAAGCGCACAGGTAGACGACATGACATTACACAGCTTAAAAACAAGTACAGCATTTTGAAAAAGGAATGGCAAGCCTGGATCAAGTTGATGGATACCAGTAAGGGTGTGACTGGCATTGGGTTTGACAGGGACACCGGGTTGTTCACAGCGTCGGAGGAGTGGTGGGACAATCTCAAATCGGTATGCACGAACATATATTTTATTGTACGTAATAAGTAGCCCCTGTAATTTTGTACACACATGTAATTTTGTAGTCACTTGTTCGTTGAATGTCCCATGTCACTGTGACGGAAAAATTAAATTGTACTTTAATTTCGCATTTGCAGACAAACAAGCTCGCTTACAAGTTCAAGACAAAACCATTGGAGCATGAAGATTTGATGTGCGAAGTATTCACCAATGCAATTGCGACTGGCAAACACCATTGGACGCCGGGGGAGAAGGTTGTGGATGTTGGCGAAGGTGAATCCGACTCAGTGGACTCTCCTAGGTTGGCACCATTTACCGAGCCATACAGACTAGTCGTTAACTCACTTCCAAACTCCCTCACCGTCCAGCTTGATGAAGCAGACCCCGGGACAAAGAGGAAAAAAAAGAGGTAGCACTAGTGGAAAGTCGAAGAAGGTCTATACTGGAGCATCGGTTCTTGCGGATAGTTTTAACCATCTGTCTAAGGGGATTGAAACACAAAAGCACCTGACGGTTAGGCACGGAACTGGTGCATCGCAGAAGTATGGCATTGAGCCATGTATGCAGCGGCTTATGGCTATCCCGAACTTCATCAGCACCCCACTGTACCATTTCGCCTGCACTGTGTTAGAGAACGCGGATTACCGGGAAATATTGATGTGCATGCCAGATGATGAGAATGTTGTCGGTTGGTTTGCGGCATTGCAGGTTTCAAAAGGCCTGTGAGTACTTCGGTTTGGTCTTTCACGCAAAAATGGGACGTCTTTGGTTTTCATGTGCTTTTGTGTTTTTTTGTGGACTAGTTCTGTGGGCCTTTTTTGTAAGTTGTTTTGTTTTTTTCTATGGTTTCATAACAATGTAGTTATTGTTACTTTACTTTTGTGGACGGTACGTACTTTTGTCTTGCGCATTAACGCTGCATGTTGTAACCTTTATTTTGGGGCATACTTCACTTTAATGGTTGCATGTAACGTAATGGAAAGTTTATGTGTTCCAATTTTATGGTTGAACGTTACTGGTCCAAATGTGCTTAGTTTACAACTGGATAATTGATTTCTCTGTTGTGTGCATTGTAGGAGTCATCAACGAATAATGTGGAAAGGTCAAAGCAACAACTATAGAAATTATGATGATGTAATCATCGAACTCGCAGAGGAAGAAGAAGACCTACAAAAAAAGCGTAATCGGTGATGCTGCGCAGCATGCAATGGAATATTACCTGAAGTACATAGAGAAGATCCTATGCCGAACTTCTATTTTGACTGGTCGTGGATGGATTCAAGAATTGTTTGATGGGCACATAGGAAGACGTGAACAAAATTTGCATATGCCGCTGTATGTGTTTCAAGTGTTGTGTGACACATTGCAAAGCGACTTCGGTTTACGAGTACCTACAAGACCCCATGGATTACACATTGAAGAAAGTGTTGCGATGTTCATCCATACGTTGGACGGATGCACAAACCGAAAACTTTAGGAACGCTTCCAACACTCAGGAGAAACTGTGTCGCGACATTTCCATACAGTGTTGGAAGCGATGAAGTTGTTCACAGAAGTGCATTGTAAGCCCACCAGAGATCAAAATAATAGGTATCCATATTTACGATCCAGAGGGAAATACGTGCCTTTCAAGGTTAGCATATTAGTTGTCGTTATCGATTAATTTTGATTTTATGTGATGTATGTAAACCTCATGTCATGTACGTTATTAGTGCATCATTGTATAGGAGCGTTGGACGTTACTTATGTAGAAGCCATGTTGCCTGCCCGTGATGCCGGTACATATTACGATCGCAAAGGATATCTAACCCAAAACATACTAGCAGTATGCGACTTCGACATGTGCTTCATTTTCATATCTTGTGGTTGGGAAAGAAGCATGCATGACAGTCGCATCTTTAACTAAATAATTGGGAACGAACATGCACCGTTCCCGCATCCCCAAGAAGGTAACACATTTGAAATTAAGTACTCAATTATTAATTTTATTGAAAATCTTTAATTGATTGACCAAATGTAGGTAAATATTACCTTATGGATGCGGGATATGAAAACAAGAAAGGGTATTTGGCACCATACAAAAAATCCCGGTATCACCAAGCAGAGTTCCGGGATCGTGGATGACCCGATAACCCAAGAGAATTGTTTAACGAAGTGCACGCATCATTGAGGAGCGTGGTGGAAAGAAAATTTGGAGCGTGGAAATCGCGGTGGAAGTTCCTGAACAACATGCCGGACTATGATTTTGCGACGGTGCAGGTGCAATTGGTTGGTGCGTCAATGGCCTTACACAATTTCATCCGTAGGCACGAGATAGCTGCTAATGCACACAACGAACATGTCAGCGGTTCCTCTGTTCCAGATGACATGCTCGCCGCGGAAGGCAGACAAAATATGGATGATGGCCTGAAGGTTGGAGATACGGATGTAGATATGGCAAGAGTTCGCGTGCGCATCCATAACCATTTGTTTCACATACGGAGTCAAGGACTATTGTGAAATGCTTGTTATCTAGCTTATGTGTTTGTGTAATTTGTAATTTGTATTTCCGCATTGCAATGGGATTGTAACAAATTGTTTAAATTAGTAATTCGTGTACAGAGAATGAAAGTGTGTTGCAAATTTACATTTATTTGAAGTACTACATCTTATTCGAATAAAATGAAAAATTAAAATAAATTGTCAAAATTAAATTTTATATGTGAAAATTAAAATAAATGAAAAATTAAAATAAAATAAAATTTTATATGTGATAATTGAAATAAATGAAAATTACCACCAAAAAAAATAGTTGACAAAATAAATGAAGAATTAAATTTAAAATAAATGAAGAATTAAAATAAATTTTATATGTGAAAAAAATAAATTGAATTTATCAAAAAATAAATGAATGGAGAATGAAAATAAATTAAAAAAAGTGAATTTAATAAATTGAAGCACAACACAATAAATAAATTGAATTTATCAAAATAAATAAATAAATAAATTACCAAAAAATAGTTGACAAATTAAATTTTAATTCGAATAAATGAAGAATTAAAATAAATTTTATATGTGAAAATTAAAATGAATGTTGACAAACAAATTGTTTGGGGCTTTTCCCAAATTAAGCGAAATTAGTAACCTATTTCCCAAAATAGGCCTAGTTTGGACAGAATTTCCAAACTAGACCTAGTTTGGATGGAATTCCCAAACTAGGCCAAAGCGCTATTACAAATCACGCTTTCACTGTTTGGAGTTGAAAATTTTGATGAATAGTGAAAGTGCTATTACAAATCACGCTTTCACTGTTTGGAGTTGAAAATTTTGATGAATAGTGAAAGTGCTATTACAAATCACGCTTTCACTGTTTGGAGTTGAAAATTTTGATGAATAGTGAAAGTGCTATTACAAATCACGCTTTCACTGTTTGGAGTTGAAAATTTTGATGAATAGTGAAAGTGCTATTACAAATCACGCTTTCACTGTTTGGAGTTGAAATTTTTGATGAATAGTGAAAGCGCTATTACAAACCACGCTTTTAAAGGTAAGTTTGTTTTCTGAAAAAAACGTGGTTCCAAACCACGCTTTCACTGTGCATATATTTTCTGAAAAAAACGTGGTTCCAAACCACGCTTTCACTGTGTTGTGAAGAAAGCGTGGTTAGAAACCACGCTTTCAACACTGTCCCAAACACACAAACACTACACTCACAAACACACACTCTCTCTCTCTCTGACACAAATACAAACAAACACAAACATGACTCACACACACACGACTCACACACACACTCACACTCAATATATATAGAAAAACATAAAGTACAAACGTGTTTGGTTTGAACAAAATGTTTAAAAAAAATTTAAAACATAAACTAAAAAATATGTTTGTTCAAGCCTAAAATATTTATATTTATATTTATTATTTATGACAATGGGATCACACATATTATAATTGAAAAAAAAAAAAATTATTTTTTGGCTTAATTTGGGAAAAATTTATATTTATTTTTTTGGCTTAATTTTTAAAAATTTATTTTTTTATAAATTATTAATATATATTGAGTGTGAGTGTGTAAAAAATTTATTTTTTTTTATAAATCCTAAACGCTGCTCGTCGCCTCGTCGCCCGCCGTCGCTGTTCGTCGGCTCTGCCTCGCCTCCGCCCCCCGCCTCCGCCTCCAGCCCCATTTGTTGGGCCCCCTCCAGTCCCTCTTCCTCTCTGCCTCCGCCGTCTGCCTCTGCTTCTTCTTCTTCCCTTCTTCTTATTTCCTTCTTTCTTTCTTCCCTTCGTCTGCTTCTTCTTCTCTGATTGAACTAAAAAAAAAAAAATTCAAAAACGATGAAACGACGTCGTTTTTGGTTCGGGAGATTAGGAAGACTCCCTTTCGAGCGACGTAGCACGACTGTTAATTTTAATATGGCAACGTAACAGGAACTTGATTAATTAATTCATTTGAATTTATTTTGGTAACAATTGTTTGCACCATGTGATAACTGATTGGTAAATGTGGCCACGTGTCAACGCAGATTTCAGTTTCAATGTGGAAGGAATGGTGGCCATGTGGCCATTACCAAATATGTGCAATTAAATAGCAATAGGGTTAATTTGATCAATTTACATTCCATGGAGATATGATTGGGGAAGCTTTAGGATACCTGCCCAAAAAGTATTTCATTCAACTCGCTCATTGAAGAAGTTTTTTCAATAGCATGAACCTGAAATCACATGAACCAACATTTAAAACTCCAAAAATCATTTCCATATTGAATGATGGAAAATTTATAAACAAAAAGGCTACATAATGTTGGGCAAATCTACTTTGAGAGTAAACAAAAGGACATTTTTAATTCTACAAAAGTTGAAATGTGCACATCCATAGCCATGTACTAGTTACAATAAGAGAAAAGGAAAAGAATTTGGACCCATAAACAGATAATATAATTAAGAACTAGAAAATGCATAACCCTAATTAGCATAATTATGTGAACATTATCAAATGCCAAAACATCAGAGAATATGATAATATAGCAGATAATTGATAACTAACTCCGTTCAATCATTTTAAGTCTTCAAGTGCTCTGCAAGAAATGATGCATCAAGATGGTCACAATCCTCTAATTATGATGAAATGGAGATATGTGAGTGACATCAAACCTCATTTGTGACTTCTATGTGCCCATCCGTGTTTCTAGGTGAGGGATTTATCTAATTTTTAAGTCAAGATATCATTATACAATTAGGTTTACATTTGGTAAATACTTCTTTTATCTTTTAGGAAATTCTTTACATAACAGATTTTTCACTAGATTTTTTTACTGTTACACACAAAACAATGGGTCTCACTTGTATTTATTAATTTGGACTATTAACTGTGTAAAATAAAAAATAAAAACTTGATAAAAAAAAATCCATTTGCGTATAGCAGCACTCTAGTAAAAAAATCTGTTTATGTAGAGTATTTTCCTAAAATATAGCATTTTATGCATAAAAGTGAAGTGCATACTCATATAGTAAATTTGATTATTTATAAGTAGGTGTATTGGACATAAAAACAAAAAGTAAATAAAAATAAAGAAATACAATTTAAAATTTTAAAAAAAAATGAATAATATTTAAACTACCCACCTCATTCAATTCACTTCTAGACTCTAAAATTCAAATGAATAATATTTAAACAGAAGTCCTAATCAATGCCTTCAACCTGACCCCTCCCATACGATGGAACAATCTCAAAAAATGACATTGCTGCATTTCATTCCCCACCCTTTACTTAATATGAGGAATCAATAGATGACAACAAAATGAAAATACTGGATATGATATTATGTTTTAAAATTTGTACGTAATTAAGGAAAAACCAATATTGTTAGAGAATGCTTACCTGGTAAATGATTTGAAATACATAGCTACATATGCCTGCAGTCTTGCAAACACGAGGTTCTTCAATGGAATTCAAGCTTTTGGACATATTCAGCATATTGCCATCTTCCTCCAATGCTGGAGGCACATAAGTACCCTGCTCTGCATCTAAAGCCACATGAGCATTCCATAATAAAGAATTAGCAGCTGTTTTATTTTATTTTTATTAAAATAAAATTAAAATTAAAAAATATTAATAAAGAAAGAAAACAAGGAAGCATTCCATAATAAAAAATTAAAAGACGGAAATCAAGACATGAGGTAACACCCTGAGGCTTGAGGTTTGAATCTACTTTGATGATTATTCTTCATAGGTATGGTTGGGTAAGGTGCAATTTGATACAAATACTTTCTTTGTTGGGCAATAACATTAACAACCACGAGTACTAAAAGAAAAGCACATCCCCAAACATGTAAAAGGAGCATGAGTGCATAACCACACAACAAAACACACAAAGGGGTGGAGAAAGCTTAAGGCTCATCAACAGGACTCGCTCAATGCATCGCCCCTATTGCTATATACACTTATCAGCATGACATCAAAATATTGAAAAGCACAATATAATGGATGTGTTTCAAGCGTTGTGTGACACATTGCGAAGCGATTTCGGTTTACGAATACCTACAAGACCCCATGGATTACACATTGAAGAAAGTGTTGCGATGTTCATCCATACGTTAGACGGCTGCACTAACCGAAAAATTCTGGAACGGTTCCAACACTCGGGAGAAACTATGTCATGACATTTCCATGCAATGTTGGAAGTAATGAAGTTGTTCATAGAAGTGCATTGTAAGCCCACTAGAGATCAAAATAATAGGCATCCATATTTGCGATCTAGAGGGAAATACGTGCCTTTCAAGGTTAGCATATTAGTTGCCGTTATCAGTTACTTTTCATTTATGTGTTGTATGTGAACCTCATGTGTTGTACGTTATTGGTGCAACATTGTATTGGAGCGTTGGACGATACTCATGTAGAAGCCGTGTTGCCTGCTCGTGATGCTGGCACATCTTACGGCTGCAAAGGATATCTAACCCAAAACATACTAGCAGTATGCGACTTCGACATGTGTTTCATTTTCATATCTTGTGGTTGGGAAGGAAGCATGCATGACAGTCGCATCTTTAACGAAATAATTGGGAACGAACATGCACCGTTCCCGCATCCCCAAGAAGGTAACACATTTGAAATTAAGTACTCAATTATTAATTTTGTTGAAAATCTTTAATTGATTGACCAAATGTAGGTAAATATTACCTTGTGGATGCGGGATATGCAAACAAGAAGGGGTATTTGGCACCATACAAAAAATCCCGGTATCACCAAGCAGAGTTCCGGGATCGTGGATGACCCGATAACCCAAGAGAATTGTTTAACGAAGCGCACGCATCATTGAGGAGCGTGGTGGAAAGAACATTTGGAGCGTGGAAATCGTGGTGGAAGTTCCTGAACAACATGCCGGACTATGATTTTGCGACGGTGCAGGTGCAATTGGTTGGTGCGTCAATGGCCTTACACAATTTCATCCGTAGGCACGAGATAGCTGCTAATGCACACAACGAATATGTCAGCGGTTCCTCTGTTCCAGATGACATGCCCGCCGCGGAAGGCAGACAAAATATGGATAATGGCCTGAAGGTTGGAGATACGGATGTAGATATGGCAAGAGTTCGCGTGCGCATCCATGACCATTTGTT